GCGTGCCTGTAATCCCAGCTACTCAGGAGGCTGAGGCAGGAGAATTGCCTGAACCCAGGAGGCGGAATTTGCGGTGAACCAAGATCGTGCCATTGCACTCCAGCCTGGGTAACAAGAGCGAAACTCCGTCCCAAAAAAAAAAAAAGAAGGTGACTTTTGGCTCTGTGTTTATTTTGCGAACCACCAGGCAGAATGGGAAAGCAAAGTAGAGAACACTCAGAAACCGTAAGAGAGTCCCAGGCTCAGAACCAGGGGAAGAGTCCTGGATCCAACCTCGACATCTTCTCCTGAAAGAGCTTGTCAAAGTCTTCACTCTGGGCCACAGTGAAGTGGTTTTTCCAGTCCCCAGAAACTCCTGCCAAGCAGACGTGGAAAGGGAAGCATCAGAACACGAGGAAGAGCCCCGGACGCAAAACCAAGACCGCCACTCACTGCTTCCCAGTGGTTCATCAACCTAGCCTACGTTCTCCCTGAGGAGTAACATGAGGTACCCTGCAATTTTCGTGCTTTCTAGGCACTGCCAGAGGCCCCTGAGTGCAAAAGGGAGAGATGATGGAGGGCAGTGGTTTTGAGTCTTTATAGCATCAGAGATTAGGTTTGAAATCCTGCTTCCGCCATATACTAGCTTGGAGAAACGGAGAAAGTTACATAATCTCTCTGAGGTTCAGTCTCCCTGTTTGAAAAAAACAATGGTAACCATTTAAGAGAGTTTCTGTGGATTTTAAATAATACAATGGACACTTTGGGAGGCTGAGGTGGGTGGATCACTTGAGCCCAGGAGTTCAAGACCAGCCTGTGTGACACGGTGAAACCCCGTCTCTACAAAAAATACAAAAATTAGCCAGGCGTGGTGGTGCATGCCTATAATCCCAGCTATCCAGGAGGCCGAGGTGGGAGGATCAATTGAGCCCAGGACACTGAAACTGCAGTGAGCTGTGACTGGGCCACTGCACTCCAGCCTGGGTGACAGAGTGAGACCCTGTCTCAAAAATTAATAATAATAATATAATGGGGCTGGGCGCGGTGGCTCAAGCCTGTAATCCCAGCACTTTGGGAGGCCGAGGCGGGTGGATCACGAGGTCAAGAGATCGAGACCATCCTGGTCAACATG